GGACCTAAAAGATTGTTGTGTGCAACACTAAAAACTGCCAAAAAGTTTAGCTCAGTAAGTTGAGATGGAATCTCACCAGTCAAATCATTGAAAGAAAGGTCCAAGCTTTCAAGTTGCTTCAAATCTGAGAGGGTAGAAGGTATGGGTCCAGTTAAGTTGTTGTGGGACAAGTTAAGTGAATGAATGTCACTTAAGTTTCCCATTGCAAGTGGGATTAAGCCTGTTAATTGGTTACAAGAGAGATCAATTTCAGACATGTAATCAAGAATGTTGCCTTCATAAGTGTAAGACCACCGCTTGGTAACAAGTTCTATCCAATGTTGTCCATGGCTACCCAATTGTGTATATACCTCTTGCATTAAGCTAGCTTCCATTTCTGTCGATGTGTCAAAGTGAAATGTTGAAGAATCGAAAATTTCACTCCATGATGAAAATGAATTCGGAGCGCCAATTAAATGTCCGAAACAAGAAGGTATATGACCAGAAAGTTGATTATGAGACAAATCCACGATTCGTAGTTGGTCCAACTCACATATTTCATTTGGAATTTCACCAAAAAAGAGATTACCTTTTAGACGCAAGATCCTCAAGGAAGAAAGGTCGCTGATCCATTTTGGAATGCCTCCAGAAAGGTTGTTTTCTCCAAGATCTAGTATCTCCAATGAAGAGATGTTCAAGAATGAATGTGTTAGAAGACCATTTAGTCTATTTTTGCTCAAATAGATTTGTGATAAGTATCGTGAGGGTGGACTAGAGCAATGTGGTAGAGACCCAGATAAATTGTTGTGAGATAGGTCGAGCTGACGGCTGGCAACATAGCAAAATTCCTCTGGAATTGATCCATCAAAGTGATTGTTGGATAAATCCAATTCAATCAAATAAAGGAGATTCTTTGTCCATCTTGGAAGCTTTCCTAACAAATTGTTGTTGCTAATGTCCAATATTCTTAGATATGAGGCCCTAGAAAAGTAGACATTGGATATCTCTCCTTCAAAATTGTTTCTGTCCAGATACAATGCTTCCAATGATTGAAGCTTAAATAAACCAGGAGGTATTTTCCCAATCAAGTTGTTATTTGAAAGTCTAAGATAAATTAATGATTTTCCTATAACAAACTCTTTTGGTAATGTTCCAGAGAATTGGTTGCTGGACAAGTCTAAAAAGTATAAATAGTTCATACTAACCAACCACTTAGACAATCTTCCTCCAAAGCCATTGCCAGACAAGAATAACCATGTTAAATATGGAAAAATCATACTGATATTTAATGGGATTTCACCTTGTATTTGGTTATTCGAAATATCTATTTCCCAAACATCAAGATTAGGTTGTGATGGCAAGTGGAAAGAACCCATGAAAGAATTGTTCTTCAAAATAGCAACCTCTAATCTCGTATTATTTTCAAACAACCAATAAGGTAAGGCCCCCATAAATTGGTCAGATGAAAGATCAACATATCTCAAGTCATATAGGTAATAGAGAAGGCTAGGAGGTTTAGTGATTTCCTCATTTGCCGTACAGTTTGACAAACTAAGGACTCTTGGCTGGAACTTGGGAACCCTTGTTTGAACATGATCATGTTCTGGAACCAATTGATTGAAATCACTTAAGAAGACTTTAAGGTTGGAATGGTTTGCAAATGACCTGAAGGAATCTGGAACTTGAAATTTATTAGTAGAAATTGAGAGATATCGGAGCAAAATAAGATTAATTAGGGGAGAAGATGCAACATTTCCAGTGAACAGATTTTGGGAGATATCCAAAAGTCGAAGAGATGTCAAGTTAGCCAAGCAAGAAGGTAGTATCCCTACCAATTCATTTCCAGAAAGATCCATCTCTTCAAGGTTCTTCAAATCACACCAACCTTGAGTTGGTAAGGTTCCTGTGAATCCACATTTTCTTAGAGATATTGACCTAAGAGAAGTCAATGCACCAATATTTTGCAGAAAGTTTATGCTAAGAGGGGATTGATCCAAGAAAAGTTCCTCTAGATTGCTCAAAACTTGCGAAGCTGCAAAATGGTTATCATATTAGTTGAATATGTATTTGCTGAAAAAAAAAATTATGAGCATATAGAAATTAATATAAAAAACACAGGCAATAATATTGTAGAATGCCATCTATGTAATACTTACTTTGAATAAACATGGTTTGGTTTAGATGATAGTTATCTGTCAAATAGAGTCTCTTAAGTGATGGGAATGCCTCTAGTGATAACTGTGCTGGCACACTGCTTTCCTCAGGAAATATTCCATCAAGATAAAGAGTTTTTAATTTGCTAAAGCTTGTATTTGCTGTGGATGATAAAAAGAAAATGAAGATTATGTTGAAGAGTTTTGAAGAAAACATATAGTTAGTTGAAAGATACATCTCTATCAAAACGAAAAATAAAACAAACATATAGTCACAATGTCATTTGATTGATACCATTAGTGGAAACAAATTGGTTGAGTTTGTTGTAGCTCATTCGTAGCTCTTCTAAGCATCTTAAAGCATCAAATTCTAGGAGAACCACAAAAAAAAGTTGTTAGATCACACATAAGTAACAAATAAACTGCTTTCAATGTCTTAGCAAGAAAGAAAAAACGCTTAAAGTATGCCTCAACTTACTTGTGACATCTACTAATCCTTTTAGATTATTATCTTCTATATTTAGAGATTTTAGATTTAAAAATTCATTGACGGAAGATAGCACACTATTGTTGAAGAGATTAGAACTCAAATCAAGGACCTCTAGATGGACAAACCTCAAATTTTGTTCATCTGCCAAAAATATATGATCTCATTACAACCAATTTTGTTAATATTAAATATTAACTTAGGAAACAAATTAAATATATGTACCTTGGGAAGATTCGAGGCTTTCAATGTCGTTAGAACTTATGTCTAACACCTTTAAGTTTCTCAGATTACTCAATTCTGTTTAAGCTCATCATTAAAATAAAAGAATGAAAAATATGTTTAATTCCAATAAAATATTATAGGATAACACAACTTTTTTAGGGGAAAAGATATAATAAAAATGAAAACGGGTGAAAGCAAGCTTAATTACCTCTAGTACTCAAAGTGCCATTTAGTCCACAAATGGACAAGATTAGAGTTTTTAGAGATGAAAAACTACTTAAATATGATAGAATGTTGTTGTTCAAGTCCATATTATCACTTAAGTCGAGAAATTCCAGATGGCGAAATCTTGACAGCTTTTCAAAATCAGCTTCTACAAGTTAAAATTTCAGAACATAAAGTCTTTATTTAAAATGATCAATATTATATCATCTCTAATAAACATATAATAAAATTTGTTAACATTTTACCGTCTCTATGGTTCGATGCTGTCATTAAGTTGCAGCCTTCCAAACTCAAAGATTTGAGAGAAGGAAGCTCATTCAAAGATGTTAAAATATAAATATTTAAGTCATTCCCACTTAGATCAAGGATTTTCAAATTCCTCAAATTAGAAAACCTCATGAAACCTGCAATATAATTTTTTGCAACTCATACAAGTTAATTATAGGTTCAATTTTGAGAATAAAAAAAATATAAATTGCAAGAGTAACAAAAAGGAAATGGTTTCCCATACACCAAAGATGAATTGGTTGAGTTTTGTTCAAGTTCATCATCAAAACAAAAGAAGGAAAACTATTTTTAATTTCAATAAAATATTACAATACAACACATCTTTTTAAGAGAAAATTATAATAGAAATGAAAACGGGAAGAAAGCAAATTGAATTACGTCTACTACTCAAAGTCCCGTTTAGTCCACAATTCCATAGGATAAGAGTTTTCAAAGATAGAAGACTACTCAGATATGGTAGTACGTTGTTGTTCAAATCTATATTGGATCTTAAGTCAAGAAATTCCAAGTGGCTGCGTCTTGACAGGCTTTCAAAATTAGCTGCTATAAATTAACAAATCAAAGCATAATGTCTTTAATTAAAATAATCAATATTGCATCAAATTTGGTAAACTTATAACAACAATAAGTTAAAATCTTACCCTCCATGTGATTTGATGCTATCATTAAGTTGCAGTAGGTTAGATTTAGAGATTTAAGAGATAGAAGATCACTCAAAGATGTTAAGATATTATTATTCAAGTAATTGCCAGTAAGATCAAGGATTTCCAAACTCCTCAACTTAGAAAGCCTTTTAAAACCTGCAATACAATTTGTTGCAATTTATACAAGTTGATAGATTGAACTTTCAGAGTAAAAAAAAATTAAAATTGCAAGAGGAAACAATAAGGAAATGGTTCCCATAAACCAAAGATGAGCAGAAATTCATCAAATTGTACCATTAGTATGGTTTGACACTTGAAAGTAGTTGCCTGCAAGATTTAGAGACTTGAGAGATG